GGGTGAATTCACATCTGATCCTGCATGCCTAAATTAAAATATTTTTCTGATCAGTCTTATGGAGGTTTTTACACTGTGTTTTTGTTCAGAGGCTGACTTTTCAAGGGTTACCTCTCAAATACCTTGGAAAAAAATTCTTTTACAAAACTCAAAGACATGATGATGTTGGGAATAAATCTGATAGCCATTGAGGACAAGTGGCTACTGAACCTTTGATTTCAATGTCTACTTTGGCTATTATACTTTATACCTAGCATTTCCAAATATACAGGCCTTCCCTGTGTTTAAATCATAATGTAAAAGTCAGATAGGCCTATTATAATTTTTAACAGGTTAGATCTAAGAAGCTTTAATAAATATCTATAGTGTTGCCTCCTTGTGGAGGAGAAGGCAACACAAAAAGCTATAAAATCTTTGTTTCTTGTCTGTTTTGTGTATGTGTGCACACCTCTGTACTGTATTGTTGTGTCTACATATGTGCTTATGTCCATATATCATGTACATGGTATTAAAATTGACCTATAAATAAATGAGTGCTCATAAATCAAATTTGTAAAAAATGGATCCAAATAACTTTTAGTTCAGGTGACTTAAAAAGGTTCAACTTAAATTAGGTAAACAGATGAGAGTAAAGATATCTTTAAAATTACTGACAAGTTCTTCAAGGTGGTCATATAATTAACAGAGTGTTGGTTTCTATAAAATGTCTAGAATGTAATTATTCATCGTTTCTAAGATTTTTCTTCAGTTGGGAAGAGATGGCTAATATTATTAACATTTGTCTGGTATCTTGGTTTTTACAGTTAAAAATCATAAATTAGATTTAACATTAATGAGATTGATCATAAATACATTTATTAGTGACATCTGATTAATTTACAAAATTATTAATTTACAAAATTAAAGTGCTGAAACATCAACTACTAAATATAAAATCAAGTACTCTTAACTTCTTAAATTCCATGAGGTAATATGGAATAATATTTAAACATTATGTGTGTTTTCATAAATGGGTAAATTAAAAATGGTTTGAGATTGATTTGTTTGTGTCTTCACTAAAAATAAGGTTACTAAGAATTAAAATTCTATCAAGTAAACCAAGTGCAGGTGTGCATGCCTGTAATACCAACAGCGCAGCAGGAGGCTGAAGGATTTCAAGTTCAAAGCCAGCCTCAACAAGGAGGTGCTAAGCAAGTCAGTGAGAATCTGTCTCTAAATAAGATACAAAATAAGGCTGAGGGTATGGCTCAGTGGTTGAGTGCTCCTGAGTTCAATCTCTGGGACCCCCCAACCCAAAAAGAGAGAGAGAGAGAGAGATTATATCAGATGTATTTCTATAAAATGTTTCAATTAGGTTTCAATTAAAGTACCATAAAAACAAAGTATTTCATCCTTTTATTAAAGTGGAATAATTTGTCTAAATTCAGAAATTTCATAAGGACAGTTTCAGAATATAAATTTTAAAAAGAGGTTAACAGCTAAGAAAGAGATATAAGAGGGTGATAGTTATGGAAATATATCTTAATATGGAAAGTAGAATGAAAGAGAAATGATTCTGGATTATAAAGTTTGTTATGTGGTAAAGAAAAAGGTTGTAAAATATTTAGGTAAATTGCAAAAGGATTGTGGAGGGTAAATTTCAAAAAGTGTGTGTAATTAAATTGGTTATATATAATTAGCATAATCAGTTAAAATAATATAAGGTTTTTCCTTAAGTCAAATGTTAATGTACTGATATAAAGTAAAGTTTAATCACCTGTGGGTTGAAGTAACAAAGATTTCTTAAAACATTAATCTGCTCCCATATATTAAGATAATCTCTTGTATCTTTTTTTTAATTTAGAGAAACTAGTCTTAAAGGAATTATGGTTTGTACAACTCTGATTGAAAATAATCAGAATATTTTAGAGTATTATATTACATTACAGAGCCTAAATTTTTCTTTAAAAGCCAAACTTGATTAATATAAGAACACCAATGTAATCATGTTACTGTTACTGACTTATTTGTCATATTTTCCACTTGTATAAATCTTTAAAATATAGGTTTTAAAAGAACATTTTACCATGATGATATTCTTTGAACTAAAGTTTAAAGTAAAGATTTGGAATTATAAAAAATTATGTTTCTTAGTTCATAGCTATTATAAAAACTAAATATGTTTTTATTCTTCTTAATTCATTTGGTATTTTCCTTGTATACTTTATAACTATTATTTGTTAGTGACTTACAAAAGTATAACTTCTAATAAAACAACCTGAGTTAATTTGACATCATAGGATAGATGAGATATAAGGCTGATTTTCAGAACTAATATTGAACCCAATTAAATAAAGTTATAGACATTAAAAGTGAGACTCTGTAATATTACTTTAAGATGGTAAAACTGGCTTGCTGAATGTTTAAGACCAACACATGGAGATTAAAGTTAAGGAAGTAAAAGGACCAAGAAAGAAAAGAGCCAATATTTGGCTCTTACCCTGTGAGTCAGCTTGAACCAAAGGAATAGGGGAGTTGTATAAGGGCTTTGCAACAATGGGCCACATGACGTTCCCATCATGGGGATCTATGAGACCCTGAAGAACAGAAAGCGAGCCAGTGCATATGCTATAAAGAGGAGGGTCATTGGAGAAGGAGCAATCCCTGATGCATCCAAGGGAAGCCATGTGGTCAGTGAGAACTTGACCCATCCTGGAAGATAGCACTAAAGGAACTAAAAATTTGCTCTCGAGTTCCCAAGAGTGACCCACTAAGGAAACTCAGTTGACTCTTAATAATATATAGGAATAAGGTCAATTTGACCAACTTGGTCTTAAACACCTAGCAAAACAAGTTATTATCAAAAGAGCCATACCTGGACATTTTAAAGGAAAGATAATAGTTCTTTTAATATAACTTAAGATACATACTTGTGTTAGTCTCACCAAGAGTAAGTAAGACTGCAGGCTACAAAAAAGGGATTCTTATATAGGAGTGCCTGCTAACTATCAAAAGAGACTGTTAGTCAGTAGTCAATTTAAGGACTATAAATCTTCTTAACCGATACACAGGTAGGCTTTGTCTGTGTTTGCTAGTAGGATTTTTTAGCCCTAATTAACAGAAATAAAAAGATCTCTATTAAACACAGAGATTATGCCAATAAAAAAGTATTTTATGAAAATTAGATGACATCAGATAATTACATTTTATGGGGCCATCTGTGACATTATTAAAACTAAGTGTTGTGTTTACATTCTTTAACTCTAGCAATGTAATTAATATCCTTAAAAGTTTACATTCCCAAATAGAGGCCATGTCCTCACTGGCCTTGTCATGAGAACAACTTCTTAGCTCTTATACCTCCTGGTAAGAGATTACTGGTTTCTATCATCATTGTGATATTCATGACATATTCTAAATGCTACAACATTTATTTTGTATTAATCTCATTCTAGTAGTCATGTCTTTTTGTTTTTCTCATAGAAGCACCCGCCTACCAGATGATTTTACAACCTCATGCTTCCAAACCAGACTTTTACCACGGACCCCTCAACTGACCCAAACATTCCTAAAAGGGAAACCCAAACTGCTTGCCCCACATCGCCCCCCTTCAGCTTGAAGCAGCCAGAGCGGTCATCGTCCATTTTCCCTTACAGCAGTAAGGGTTCCCTTCTCAGAGGAGGGATTGAGGCTGGGGGTGGGGGGGGGCAAAAGGATGGTCAGTGTAGGTAATGAATGATTGGGTCAGGAAGATGGGGGACATTCAAAAAGAAATAAAATGCTTCCTTCTACAAGCTGTTGCCAAGGTTACCTGCTTCCAGGAACTTATTCCCCCCTGCAAGGAGTTGTTAATGAAAGCCCTCTGGGCCACTACCTTCCTGCCTGTATCCTGGAAGGTTCCTTTCTCACCTTTTGGCCACATAGGCAAGATAAGGGGAGGAGGGAGTATGAAACAAAGAAGTCTGAAATCTATAGAAGGGGCAGGACACTACCCCTACTTCCTCGGGCACCAACTTGGACCCCCTTCTTTGTGGAGGAGTCTGACTCTCTCTGTTCTATCCTTTAAACAAAATTTTTCACACTTGCCTCAGTGTTCGTAGGGTGTTCAATCTTCAGCACCAGGGAAATGTGACTCAAACCTAATTCTCAACACTGATATCATCCTGATAGTTCTTTCATAAACATTTTATTTTATCCTCTCAACGAACTGTTGGAAAGGTGGTGGAATTACAATCCTTCTGTTTTGTGCATCAGAAATCAAGACAACTCTGGTCTTGCTCAGCTGGTTAGTATATACTTTTATTATAATTGACTAATATTTATTGAGTGATTGTTTATTAGGCACTATATGGATATTCGCATTTACCTGCACAGAATCACTTTGGTGTAGATAATATTATTGTTTTATTACTCAGTATTTTTTAATGTCTACTGCCTGAATTATTTTGTATTTTTGGAATTTTGGTACCAATTTATCTAGTTTTATACTGTTGTCCTATGAGTATATGCCATAAAGTTCATGCCAAAAATGTTTGAAAATTTATTTAACAAATATTTATTGAGCACTTAGTATTGTGCCAGGCACTGTTAATAGATGTTGAGAAAGCATTTATTTATGAAACAGACCACCAGTGTGTTATAGGATTACATATATAGAAAGAAGTTTATTATAAGGAATTAGTTCACACTGTTATGGGAATGGAAGGTCAAAATCTGTAGTTTGGACCAGTAGACTGGAGAATCAGGACAGCTGATTGTGAAGATGAAGTCCAAAGTCTGTCTGCTGGAGAAATCCCTGTGGCTCAGGGAAATTAGTCTCTTTGTTGTATTCAGACCATCAACTATCCGATTGGATGACAGACATCCACATTATGGAAGGCCAATTGCTTTATTCAGAGTCCACTGGTTTAAATGTTATTTTCATCTAAAATACTAGTAAAAGACCCTTCAGAAAGCAAATGTTGAGAGAATGCATTGCCATGGGTAATATTTTTTTTTCTTTTTCTTTTTTTAGGTGGACACAGTATCTTTATATTTATGTGGTGCTGAGGAGTGAACCCAGTGCCTCATGCATACTAGGTGAGCACTCTACCACTGAGCCACAACTCCAGCCCCAGCTATGGGTAATCTTAATGGAAGGTTTTTAGGAAGTAAAATGGTAATATAGAGATACTTAGACCTAAAGATAGCATGGATAGTTCAAAAATGGTAAATATATAGGTAAATATTTTTTTTCACTTTAAAGCATATTTTATGGTTTAAAGTAAAAGTAGTAACAATATATTGAGATGGCATATATAAAAGTAAAATGAATGGCAACAACAACAGGAAGTCCAGGAGGGAAAATTTAAGAATAGTGTTGTAAAAATTTCTATACTCTGTGTAAAAGGGGCATGATATTTTTCAAATTAGGTAAGTTAAATAAGGTGAATTAAATATACACACACACAAACACACACATATATATAAACAAACAATGTATATGGTTAAATATTTATATATGAGTAAATATATTGGTTAACCTATATACATAAATATACACATATATATATATATATCTTTAACTTACATCATGATAAATCTATCATATATATCTATGGATATAGATATCTTTTTAACTTATCTATCATAAATATATCTATGGATATGTAGACATATATCTCTTTAACTCATATATATGTGTGTGTGTGTGTATGTGTGTGTGTGTGTGTGTGTATGTATATGAATGCTATGTGCTTTCTGTAATAAACATACTGTAAGTAGGAAGACACACTTCAAGGAATAAGCAAATATAGTCCATGCACAAAGGAATCCAATGAGAGCTTGGGATGGTTGTATTAATGGATGTCAATGTAGACTTCAAATAAGGAGTATTATCACAAATGAACAGAAATACCTCACAGGGATAAATCAATAAATTTACCATAAATACATACTAATCATAAAGATTCATGCTACTAATAATTGCAAAATACATGAAGCAAATTCACATTGATAGTTGAAGATTGTAATATTCTTCTCTCAATAATTCCTATACCAAGCAGACAGAAAACTATGTGTATAGAAGACTTAAGGAGCAGTATCAATAATACTGGACACAGAAGCTACAGAATAAAAATTGTTTATAAATACATATAGACTCTATTTTATGGTATAAAATTCACCTTAATAAATTTAGGATGATTGAAATCATACTGTTAACAATGGAGGTAAACTAGAAATCTGTATTAGAAAAATACATGGACAATCCTAAGTCAAATTTTATAGGATATAGCCAAAGCAGTGCTTACAGGTAAATTTTTCAGTCCGTTTGGGCTGCTCTAACAAGGATATCATAGACTGGAAACTTAAATGACAACATCTATTTCTGATAAATCACAGAGTGCTGGGAAATCCAAGGTTAAGGTATCAGCCAATTTGGTGTCTGATACAGCTCCTCTAACTGGTTTACAGAGTGTCATCTTGTTATATCTGCATATGGCAGGAGTGAGATGAGGAGGGAGAGGAAAAGGGGAACAGAGTGCTCTCATGATGATTCTTATAAATTCACCAATCCCATGCATGAGGAATCCCCCAATACCATTCCCACATTTCTTAATACCTTTACATTAGGGGTTAGAATTTCAACATATGAATTTTTGATGAACACAATCAATCAGTCTGTAACAGGAAATACTGCTTGTAGTAGAGAGAAGTAAAGTCTCAGATCATAAAGTGGTTCAAGTCTCCATTACTATAAATGGAACGTTAAAAAAAAAGATGAACAAAAAATTAAACCTAAAGTACACATTAGGAATGAAGAAATAAAGTTATAATTTTTAATAAAATTAAAAACAAAATAGAAATCAATAGGACCAAAAGCTAATTATTTGAATAAATTAAATAAACATATATAAATCTGTACTCAGTTTGATCAAAAAGAAAAAGGTGAGATGATATGAATTGCAAATTTCCAAAAATAAAACCCCAGGACCTACAGACATTAAAATTATATGAATAAATCTATGCCTATAGATTTCACAACTTAGAGCAGGGTTTCTATGTTGTATTTGCCAGGAGTGCTTTTAGCTGTGAGTGATAGAAAACATAACTGACAGGAACTGAAACTGTGTATTTTTTACCTTTGAAAGGCACCTAATGGTAGGCTGTTTCAGTGACAACAAGGCTAGGCCTCTAAGATTGAATCTCCCCCTTCACTGATCTTTTTTTCATTGTCACAGGTATCAATCATATCTGTACTCAAAGCTCATAGATGGGGCTATGAGCAAGACTAGCCTTGTCTGTCTTTTTTAAGGAAAGCAAAAGCATTCCTATAACCTGCCCACACCAAGCAGATTTCCTGACACTTCACTGGGCAACTAGGTTATAAACCCTTTCTGAAGTTCAGGGGGTTGGAAAATCTAGTGAAAGTTACTTAAAATGGAGATCAGGCATGGAAAATCCCCAAGCAGATCAAACTAGTTAGGCCTTGAAAGTAAACTTCACCTCTTTTGAATTTGCGAACATAAACAAAACTTGTGTATTAAAGAAAAGCAACATTTAAGCTCCATCAATCAGAAGCTGCCAACTAACTTGTATAATTAGGGACTTTCCAGAAGGACAGACCAAATAAAGCTATGTACAGCTGTCACCAGTTAAATGCCATCTTTGCTTTATATCCACATTCTCCCTATGAAAGTCTGTCTCTGTGCTTCAATGGAGCCTGAAGCCTTTTTTCAGTTGTATGGTTCCTAAGTCATGAATTGCTGTTGGCTCAGATAAACACCTTATAATTTTTATTTCATCTTGTTGTATTTTTCAACATATCTATCAAAGGACAGCAGGTTTTTCAGTGTTTTGCCTTGTGTTATCCTCTAAATTTCAGCCATTATTTTTCTCAAATGTTTCTTCTATCCCCCTTTTAGGGGGATTCCAATTGCATGTATTTTAGGCTACTTGAAATTATCTTGCAGCTCACTTATACTTACTCACTTTTAAAAGTTATCTTCTCCCTCTGCTTTTGAAAAGGGAAGTTTTTGTTGTTATATATTCAATATATATTATGTTTTTATATATTTTCTTTGGCAATCCTCATCTTCATTAACCCTATCCACTATATATTTCATCTCAGACATGGTTGGTTTTGACTGTGGAAGTTTAAGGATCTTTTTATCTTCCATTCTACTTAATTTTATCAACATGTTAAATTCAATTATAACCATTTTTATGTTCTTGCTTGTTACTTATAACATCTGTGTCCATTCTGGATCACTGATAATTGATTTTTTTTTCTGTTTAGTTATTTCCCTACTTCTTCAACTGTCTGGTAGATTTTTACAATTTTATTTTATTTTTTATTAATTTTTTAATTTATATATGATAGCAGAATGCATTACAATTCTTATTACACATATAGAGCACAATTTTTTCATATCTCTGGTTGTATACAAAGTATATTCACACCAATTTGTGTCTTTATACATGTACTTTGGATAATGATGGCCATCACATTCCACTATCATTTCTAATCCCATAACTTCTCTCTTCCCCTCCCATCCCTCTTCCCTATCTAGAGTTCGTCTATTTACAGTTTTATTTTGTTTTACATAAATTATCTAGGAAATTCTAGGAAAGTTCGAGATTTGCAGAAAAATTGTGATGATAGTACAGAGTTAACAAACCTCACCACACATTTGTCCTATTATTGGCATCTTACATTGGTTTAGTGTATTACTATAAATGAACCAGTATTGATACATTATTACTAGCCAAATTCCATAATTTTTTCAGATTTACTTAGTTTTTATCTAATGTATTTGTTCCAGGATTCCATCCAGAACTCTACATTACATTCAGCAGACAAACCTTATGACACAGTTAGACTTCTGTTTCTGATGACCTACAGTTTTGAGAACTACTGGTAAGATATTTTGTAGACTGTACCTTGATTGATATTTTTATCATGATTAAGCTGAGATTATGTGTTTTGAGAGGAAAAGTTTCCTTATCATATCAAGGATAGATATTAACATGATTTGTCACTCCTGATGTTAACTTTGATCACCTGGCTGAGAAGTGTCTATCAGATTTCTTCACTGTAAGGTTATCTCCACCTTTCAACACTGTACTTTTTGAAAAAAAAGTCACTATGCACAGTTCATGTATAAACTGTTCTCTCCCTCCTTGGAGGTGGAATATCTACATGAGGGATAAGGAAGACAGAATTGTTTCAAAGCCCCTTCCCCCTCTCCCTGGCTCCTGCTCTCAACATTTTTCTGAAGGAAAAATAGTATAATTTTGCACGTCTAAATATATGTCTTGATATTTTGTGAATTCTGTTGGAAGGCAATTTAACTATCAGTTTGAAGGAATTAAGAAGAAAGATCCATAGGTCATAATTCTAATTTTCCTATCAGTACCTTATGGTGATTTGCCTCATTTTCTTATTTATGAGAGTAAATTTGGCATGTTTCTTCTGATTCACTAATGATACCTGGGGTAAGGGCAACATGTGGTTTCAATTTTTCAGAGTGCTGGCTTAGTCGTGTAAATTTCACCATTAGCTTTAAAGATAGGAGGAAATTTTTTGTTTGACTATTCCTGGACTTGGCATTTATTACTCAAGGTTTTACTTACTTGGAAATGTATTCCTGTGATCTTGAGATAGATGTATATTCAAGGTAAAGGCTAATGTGAAAAAAGTCTGATTTTATTTTGTAAAATGTAATATGATACATCGTCTCACCTTGGTAATATGAATAACCTTGAGGTCTTGAGTTCTTTGAGCTGAAAGACACTAGAATTAGGCCACTTGGGCATCTGTAATTAAATGCTATTGATGTTCAACATACATCATATGCTTTCATTGACTTGGTTAGGACTGGCTCCTAGCTTGATGGGAAGAAAGTTTCCTTGTACAGAATGTTCTCTGCCTCCATTCAAAGAGGGGGGCCAGCCAGAGGAATTGGTTGTTTATTTTTGAGCCCATGTAAAAGGAGCTGCTGAGCAGATACCTCCTGCTGTAGGCCAAGACTGGCAAAGAGGTCATCTTTGTTGCAAGTGGTTGAGGAATTGCCTCCCCTGCTGATGATTGGGGATATTTTTAGCAACAAGCTATAACTTCTCATTCTTGAAATTGTTTTCATTTCCACTCAAAGAGGCAAACTGCATGAGTCGGGGAAAAAAATAAAATAGGAGGCATAAGCACTAATAGGAGCCGTGTGTCCATGTAAAAAGAAACCTGATGAAATTGCTTCCCCTGGTGCTGACAGCTTAGTCCTGGCACTGGGGTAGTTCTAATAGCTGTAGGCTAAAAGAATCATTTCCATAGTGCAGCTTATAATGATAATGTAAATTTCACTTAAGTATACATGATTATAGAAAATTGTGCAGAATTGCAACTGACTTTGTGCTGTACTGTTTATGGAGCAATATAGACTTACCATTTTTTTCCTCCAAATTCTATGGAAGACAACTGCTTTGACTCCAGGAATCAATAAAGATTCTGCAGCATTGTGTTAACATGTATTTTATTTGAACTCAGGCTTGTCACATACCATGAGTGCTGACAGTGTGGGAGAAGGGGGAATTCTAAATTTGCCAACCTGCAGAGCCCAACCTTGAATGAAGTATTTTATGGAGAGACAGAAAGTGCTACATGTGTGTTTGTGACAGATGGAAACTCTTCAGAGACACTCATAGTTGAAGAGTTGTGTGAAGATAAACTTTATAATGTCTTGTTTTTTACTTCCTTGCCCTGTAACATATCACTGTGGTTGTGTACAAATTGAACATCTCTCCCATTTTGTATGTTTCAAAAGGGCAAGTAGTATGTTTCCTCATTTGGCTCAAGCTGAGTATCTTGTCCCTGGCAGGTCTTCAATCATTATTTGTGGAATTAAATTGAACAGGAGTGGGATAATTTTGAGAAATGTTGAGGTGTAGGTTTTTGGACTTATAGATCTGAAGAATGAGATGTATGAACAATGGAGGGTTAGAGCAAAGTAACTGAATTTATGTTTTGAAACAAACAAAGTGGAGCTCCCAAGAGAGAGTCACTGCTGAGTTGCTAATGTCTAGGTGTTATGTGATGTTTCTGATCTTTAAAGCTATTGGCTAATGCTTTTAGGGAACCTAGTTTTTGCATCCACTCAGAGTGAGACACTTGGTGATCCCTGTTTAATTGTTGATCAAGTGCTGTCTGACTCACCAGATTCTTTGTACTATGAAGTTGGGCATGCATAAGAAACATATGGAATTGCTGCAACTGAAGTCTCTGCCCTGTCTAGCATATTATATTTCTGGCTCTTGCTCTCAATATCTAAAACAAGGCAAAACCTGTGGCATGAAATAATATTGAAGTCATTAATAAGATCTTATTGGAATCTTACAATGGCAGAGTGATCTGTCAATTGTGGCAAAAAAGAGGTGTCAGGCAATATAATGTGTGTTTGGAGTATTTTGACAGAAGTGACAGGGAACTCACCTGAAGAGAATCACCTCATCAAAAGTGATTATTACCAGTTCACTCATTTATTCCTCACAACAAATCTCATAGGTAGATGCTTTCTTTTAATTTTACACATGAAAAAACTGACATTTAGAAGTGCTAAATACCACATTTCCCAAGTTAATGCAGCTAGAATGTCACCCTACTCTAAGTCCCAGTCCTTAGATTTTTCTCCCATGTGTCCTGTCTTCTAAATAAAAAGAATATCATATTCATGAAACTACAATTTACTTCAAAATGCCATTGACCAAGTAAGTCACCTTCAGAAAGACTGGTAAGAGACAGAACTAATGATATCTGCCAATAATTCAAGAAGAATCCTGTTGACTTCTCTCCATATATTGATGATTTGTGATTGACTCATAGGAATTTCTTGAGAGTCAGAGTGGCATGTAGCTCAAATCCAGTTGACTATTGCACTTTTCTGTGTGTTTTCTGGGATACAAGTGCTGCTTCTTGGTTGTAGTGAATAATGGCATTCCTCAGAGGTGACAGTGGAGGCAGGAGTTGTGAAGCCGGCTTTATCTGGAGGGCTGAAGTTTCTTGGTGGCTTTGGTAGGATGAAATAGTTAGGGAGAAATAGATGATGTAGATGTAAGCAGATTATGCACAAGATTCCACTGTAATAGAAATAGTTGCCTCTCCTTGTCACGAGCTGTATTTGGGGGGAAAATGGAATGCAAATGGAATAACTTATCTCACATAAGTTTTTTGCTGACCAAAATATTTAGTAGTTTGCATGTTCCAAGTACAAAAACAAAAGACCCCATGGAATTAGTCCATAATTACTTGGTAATTACTGTGTCATAAGAGAATATTCTTAAATGTTTCTAGACTTTCCAGCTATCTGGAAATTAGACCTGGAATTCTTTGAAAATGCATTCCAATAGTATTTGTTACTGGTGCCATACAAAGGAGAGTGTGATTGAAGTGCCTTATGACTTTTGCAGCATTTTGGCTTTTGGGCATCATTTCTCAGATATGAGTGTTGCTAACAAATAATTCTGTGTAGTTTTAACTAAGGTCACTAATGCTATGTATTGATTTTTCAAATAAGTAGTAATTTTGGATGTAAATATACGATCCATATATTTCTTGTTCATAATCATGGTAGATACCTCACTATCTCCAACATGGGTAAAGAACCAGTGTAGGTGACCAAACACAGAAGAGAAGAAAGGAGTCATGCAGGCTTGTCAATGACATGGAAGGAACCCGGTGTTCCTTTATGAATTACTCCCTCTGAGGTTTTCCCTCACTTCAAACTGAAGGTTTCAAGTGTGGAACAATCATTTTGGAAAATTGTAATGTAATAGTCAAATGAATTTATATTCAAATCCTGATCAGGAAAAAGTTTAAGTGTAAAGTAAAGATCATTTCCATAAATACTCTCTACTACCCATTGTACAGTCTTGCAATCTTGTGGTTTGTGCCTCTATAACTTTTAACATGTTGCTCAGTTGAGAATAGTTGCTCAATAAATAGTTTTGGAATGGACAAAGAAAGGGAGGAAATGAGAAAGTCCAAATAAACAGCATTACTTATGGTAAGAGACTTATAGTCTGAAACTCAGTAGCTCAAGTTTTTCTAATTTACAAATCATGGTTGAAAGCCAAAACTTACTTGCAAAATTCATGAAATGTCAAAAAAGGGGAAGTGATCTCTAAACCCTTTCTTTTGGGGGGGGGGTACTGGGGATTGAACTCAGGGGCACTCCATTACTAAGCCACATCCCCATCCTATTTTGTATTTCATTTAGACACAGGGGTCTCTCTGAGTTGCTTAGTACCTCACTTTTGCTGAGGCTGGCTTTGAACTTGCAATACTCCAGCATCAGCCTGTTGAGCCACTGGGTTTTCAGGCAGGTGCCACCTTGCCTGGCTGTAAACCCTTTTCATAAGAGTAGAGAGGTAAGGAAGGGTTCATGAACTTTCCTGGAACACCATATTACTTTTCCTTAAAGGTGGGTGTCTTATGTCATGTGTATTTGGTATTTTAAAGCATTAGTAATAAGATCTTGAATTAAATGAGATAGTGAACAGCATTTGATGCATTGCAATTACATTCTTATTGTACCTTTCAACTTTTGAAGTTGTTTACTGTTTTTGACCAATAATCTATAAGCTAATAATTCCCAATTGCAAGTTCCATGAAAAGTTGAAACTGTCTCCTCATTTCTCTACAGCAAAAGTTCTCTATCTCTTTTTATTTCAGGACCTGTTTTACACTCTTAAAATTTTTGAGGACCCTCAAATATTTTTTATTTATCTGGGCTATATTGATGACTATTTAACATATTGAAAACTAAAATTGAGAAAGTTAATACATTCATTTATTAATATATTTAAATAGAAATAAGTCCATTACATATTAATATAACATGTCTTAGAATAAAAAACTTTTTTTCAAAC